CTGGTGCCTGGCTCGGGGGGGGAGGGGGGAATTGGGTTGTGAGTGTGTGCCTGGCTCTGGGGAAGGGAAAGGGGATTGGGTTAAAGCAGAAGGGGTACCTGGGGGTGGGGAGGTGAAGAGCAGCCAGCACACTTCCTGAGACCCGGGATCCCCAGGTACCGGCCCCAGCTGTCTCTGTTCCCTCCTCCTGGCCAGACCCCCCCCCCCATGAGTACCCTGCCCCAGCACCCTGTCCCTGCCCCCAACAACACAGATGGGGCCACATTAGTGAGGTTTTGGAGCAGTTGTTTTTTGCATCTCACTTGTATGGCCCCAACTGACTTTTCTGTGGGTTAGTGATCCCTGACTCAAAACAGGTCCCCCACTTTTCTCATAAATAAAGACAATGCAGAAACTTTGTGTTTGACACAGTATTTTATTTAAAAACGAAGCCTGGCCAACAAGCCCCCATCTAGCCACAGAATGCACACACACACCCCAACCCCAAACCTGAGCCTATCATGCACTGGAACCCCCTGTCCTGAGCCTCTCACATCCCCAAACTCCTGCACTGCCACATCCCCAGTCTTCTGCCACAATACTCCTGCACGAGCCACACACTGCAAATCTGTGTCCTGAGTCCATCATACTCCCAGCTTCCCTGCCCTGAGTCCCTCATGCACCCCAGCCCATACTCCTGTACCCTCATAGCCACAAGCCTGCGGCTTGCTTAGCACCCCAACCCTCCCCCTGAACCCAACACTCTCCAGCCTTGAGCACCCATCACTGAGCCAGCATCTTCTTCTCTACTTCCTCCTGCACCCAGAGCTTGCACCTCTCACCCCTTCCCAGTGCTTGTTTTGTGAGCCACAGTAGCAGTGGAAATATTGTGAAGAGCCAAGGCAAAGTTGTTGAGCCAAAAAAAAAAAAAGCTGCGCTCTGGGATGGATGTACCCCAGTGTGGCCTTTTTTTTTTTTTTTTCCCCCTCCTCAACAACTTTGCCCCAGCTCTTCACGCTGTCTCCACTGCTATTGTGGCTCTTCGTCTGGAACGGGTTGGCCACCCCTGTTCTAGATTCAGTTTTGTTCCCTTTTGGAATTTAACCCTAGTTGATAGATTATGTTAATCTAGAGCCTAACTGAACTCAATAGGTTACAACACATAGATTCACAGTGGTATATAAGCACCTGTGAGACATGGATAACACCGGCGGTAGATGTTTAAGGAATGGCATGACCGGAGTGATCAGTTCTCATCAGGACACTAGTTGATCACTGCAGGATTGAGGAAGGATTGGGACAGTGTTGTACAGTTGGTCAGGTGTATTACGGATCCTCACCTTCCCCAGGAATCATCAGGTGTTGGTTACTAGGACACTAGACTAAGGATGTAAAAGACTAGTGGACTAGTCAATATTCTCTCCCCTTTTGCTGCCTCTATGAGATAGAGATAGCGAAGAAGGGGAGGTTTGGGGGTGGGGGCGGAAGGATACTGCAAAGTGGCTGACCCCGGGCACCTGGCAGCATGCAGCTTAGCATGGATCAGTGGGGGAATGAGAGTCCCCCGCTGACCCCGGGCTCCATGGCTTTGAAATGCACAAGAGCCCCTGCTCAGAACTCCTGTACATTTCAAAGCAGGCATGTTGAATGCAGGGAGTTCCGCATTCCTCCTTTGAAAAACCCGGAAGGGGGGGGGTCTCTTGTACATTTCAAAGGAGGAATGCAGAAGTGCCTATTGACTAGTCAACTAGTCAATTAACCGCATTTTAACATTCTTACACCAGACTGGTATGAGGGTTTAAGCACAAAGGGCCAGGAATGGCTTGGAAGTTGTAAGTCCTGATATCTAAGCACATTGACCAACATTTTCAAAGTCATTTTAAGGCGATTTGGGGTGGCAGCCAGCAGGGCCGGCCCACAACATTTTGGCATCTGAGGTGGGAAGCTCAAACAATGCCCCTGTGCCACCTTTTCTCCTGCCTGCCTGTTATGTCTCTTGTGCCCGCCTTCCTCCAGCACAGCACTCCACCATCTCTGTGCATCTAGAGCAGAGAGAATACATGTGCACCAGCAGCAGACACAATTTTCTACACTCTGGGTCCTAGTGGCACGTTCCCCTCTTCCCCCCCACAGTCTGGCACCTGAGGCAGCCGCCTCAGTTCGCCTCATGGTAAGGCCAGCCCTGGCAGCCAGGACAAATTTGAAGTGAAAGGTATTATAACTTGGTAGTGGGTCGCAGCTCCACTGCGGTGTGGCCTGGCCATAAAGTGATCAGGCTACGGTTAGTGCCCTTGTAGCTTCACGGCCTGTGCTGATGTACATGTGTGGTTCACATATGTGATCCTAAGCAATGTAGGTGGTGAAACCTCATGTAGCAGCTGTAAACCTCACCGTGGTCCCCGTTCCCCAAAATCGCTACTCTGGCCCCTTCTCTGCTGGTTTAGGAGATAGAAATGCTACTGACTTTCCAATAAGATCAGGTGATCTTAATGAGCACGAGGCCTCGATATCATGGCTCATACAACAAACAGTGCTGTCAGCAGTATGGCACCTCTCCGCAAGCAGGAGTTTGCGGGTGAAAAAGTAGAACACAGCTACGGGTTAAAACACTGCTCCCTGTGGCACAATGCCCCCTAGTGCTGGGGTACTGGCATCAGCACTGACTGTGAAGGAAGAGAGCAACATCTGTCAGTTCCATGCTTCACAGTGCCTCCTAGTGTCATGCTGGGGCACTGGTGTCAGCACTGACTGGGAAGGGAGAGAGCTCTCTTGGTCAACTCCATGCTGCACAGTGCCATCTAGTGCCAATCTCACTGCAAGGCGAGAGAGAGAGAGAGAGCACAAGCAAACTCCGTCAGCCAGCTCCTTGCAGCACAGGGCCCCCTAGTGCCATTTTGGAGCACTAGTGTCAACAGTGACTGTGAGGCGAGAGCGCTCCCTTAGCCAGCTCCCTGCAGCACAGTGCCCCATAGTGCCATGCTGGGGTGCTTGTGAGAGCACTGACTGTTATGGGAGAGAGATTCCCCAGCCAGCTCCAAGCAGCACAGCATTCCCTAATGCCATACTGGTTTCCCACAAGGCCTGTATAGCCCAGATAAGAAGGATCCTCACTTTAGTTCACTGTGCTTCTGTGATCCATTCAGTGTGAATCTAGGTGTCTCCATCTAGTCACCTCCATGCCCCATCTCATGTCAAGAGAGGCCTCTGGGATTCTCATCCATAGTCATATAGATGCTGCACACTGCTGAGCTGAGCTCTCATGCTCTGCACTAAGCAGCTGCCTGAAGGTTTTGTCTGTTTATGTGTCTGGCAGGTACATGGAAGTGGCCAACAATGTGCAGAAGGAGGAGACAGTGCTGAACATCCAGTTTGTGTTGCTCGACTGCTCGCATCTCAAGTTCTCTGTGGTCCAGCACTGCAACGAGTGGCAGAACAAGCTCACCAACCTGCTGAATGAGATGGCCAGTTCCCGGCTACAGGAGCTGTTCACCTACCTCCAGGAGAACGCTAAGAAGTGAGGCATTCCCTGGTCAGGCAGAGGCCATACTGCACCTTTCTTCCTGCTCCAGTGCCCTGCTGGTTGGGGAAGGGACAGTCAACTGTCTGTGTTGCCCATGCCCATCTCCTTGAACAGCTAGTTCCAGTCTGTTCTTCCCTTGTCCCCACTGATGGGAGTTCTTCTGTTACCCACTGTACAGTCACCATCTCTAGGTCTCACATGTCTGAGTCAGCTGGGTCTGGGTAGTCTAGTCATTGTTTCTAACTTTGGGACTCTCGGGTCCTGTCCTTCCTTGGAACATGGGATGTCGTCATCTAGCCAAAGCTCCTTGAAGCCTCTAATTCTGCAGAGCCCCATCTAGAGAGCACTCTTGGCTTCTAGTTTAATTCCTTCATAAAGCAACATGGCAGGAGAATCAGGAAGCCAGGCTCAGCAGGAGAGCTTCTTAAGCCCAGTTATTTTACTCTTAAAAGTACTTGAGAGTAACAGAGCTGTGAAAACAGCAAAAGCTCAGAGACATCCCCTCCCCATGCCAGATCTCACCCTTTCTGTGGGTCTGAGATTCATCAGCTTATGAGTGGAACTGGTCAGCTGCCCCCTACTCAGAGCAGAACCTTACTATTAAGTAGGGCCCCACTTTGGCTTGGCTCAGTCCCAACCCTTACAGGGGCCCGTGGAGAGAGAGCTGTGTTCGGTGGGGGGTGGGCCTCAGCCTGAATGGTTTGCCATACCTGTCCTGCCAGGGGGTGTCAAATACCCTTCCCTGAGCAGAGCAGATGTGGGAAGTGCAGCATCACTGATTATCCTATGCCACCACACTGCCAGTCTTCTGACCCAGACACAAGAGAGCCCTTGTCATTGACTCAGTCCTGTCTCACTTGCTCTTTTCCCCTGCAGCATCAGCCGGCCTCCACAGACTCTGGAGGAACTGGGCCAAAGCCTGCAGCTCCTTGACACGCTGCAGCATGAGCTACCAAAGCTAGAGGGGCAGATCCCGCCCATTCATGAGCAGTTTGCCATCCTGGAGAAATACGAAGTGGCTGTGGATGAAGGCGTAAGTATGGATGTGGCCCCTGCCATGCTGGCTCAGGCCCAAAGGGATTTAAGCACATAGTTTCCATGGAAATTAGGAACCTACATCCTTTTGAGGATTTGAGCCCTTCTGTACATTCAGGCAAAGAGGGTCATGTAGCCACTGTCCCTGCAGACCTTCCCCTGGCTCCCTGCTCTCCCTGTGCCTCTCTGCTCTGAATTCTCAGGCACCTAGCTCTACTTTCTCCTCTCCCCCATCATCTCTTTCCTGCTCTTTTGGGGTGTCTCAGCCTCTACCCAATGTACTCCCTCCCTACACCCCTCCTGCTCCATTTGCCCTCCTCTCCATTTTCTCTGTCAATTCTGTGCCACAGAACAGTTACTGGCTTCCAACCCCATCTCCAGATGCCCCCACTCCTGTGCTGTCCAGCCCCAGCGAATACTTAGAAGTGGGTAAGACCCCCTTCCATTGGGGTGGAGGAGGTGTCTATTTATCCTACCCATGTTTCTGGAACTCACTGTGCCCAGCCTTCTCCTTAAAGCAGTGGTAATTTTGAAGAGATGACATCTTTCATTTTCCTCCCTCTCCCTGTTCTCCTTGTCCCAGGTGCTGCAAACGCTAGGAGCACTCAATTCCGAATGGCTGTCCTTTCAGCAGTGCATCTTGGAGAGCGATGTCATGCTAAAGAAACACAAAGAGAAGTTCAAGACAGGCCTAATCCATTCTGCGGATGACTTCAAGAAAAAGGCCCAGGTCCTTCTTCAGGATTTTGGCACTAAAGGTGGGTGGTGGTGTTGCCACACCTAGGATAGAGGTCTTTAGACACACCATACTTGGCTCATTTTGTAGATCTCTGTGAGACCTAAAGAGCAAGCCAAGTTGGAAGAAATTGGTTCAATAGATTGAGATATTTACAATTAGTGATTTTTAATCGAACGTCCCTCCCTACAAGTAAGCCCATTAACTTGTGCAGTCTTCTTGCAAATCCCTGTCATGTACCTCCCCATCTTCCCTCACTGCAAAGTCATTCAGGAACTGAGCACTGGTGAACTTTCCCCATGCTCTGAAAGGCTGGGAGTAGGATCCAGGAATTCTGACTCCCAGCCCCAACTGCTCAAACCCTCTAGATCCCACTTTTGTTCAGAGCAGGAAATAGAACTTTGGAGTCCTGCCCTATCTGTTCTTACTCATCAGACAGTTCTCCCCTGCCACAGCTGGGGAAGGAACCTAGGGCTCTATTCCTACCCGCTGCTCCAACCCATTGGATCCTACTCCCTTCATAGAGCTAGAAATAAAACCCAGGCATCTTGGCTTCCAGTTCCATCTGCTTTAATTTACTAGATCCAATTCCCTCCCATAGCTGAGGAGAAAATCCAGGAGTGCTGGCTCCCAAGTCCTCTGCTCTAATCACTAACCCCCACTCCTCCACCAAAGCTGGAAAGAGAAATCAGGTGTCCTGACTCCCAGCTCCCTCTGCTCTAACCCACCAGCCCCACTCCTGGCTCCCACTTGCTCTGATCACATCATTCAGCCTCCTGTCCCATCTCCAAGCGCAGGAGTGGGGTCCCTGTGCTTGATGTGGAGCAGCAGGGGCAGAGGTTGCTGAGCTCTTTGTTGTAGGTCCATTTACCAATGCTGTGAGCTGTGAGATGGCCCTTGAGCAGATTGTGGCGATGCGGCAGCTGCTGGCCACCATGAAGGAGGAGGAGAATACCCTGCGCTCCAACCTGGGCATCTTCAAAATTGAGCAGCCAGCTTCCAAAGACCTGCAGAAGCTTGAGAAGGTGGGAGCCCCTCCCTGGCATTACAGCTTCCAAAGCTCAGGCTCACCTCTCTTCCTTGAAGGTTTGGGGGTGAGAGTTTGGAGGGATCATACCCTGCCGCTGCTTGAGAGCAAATCCACATACAGTCCCTGGGATTGGGCACTAGCCCTTGCTTGGGAAGTGGAGGTCCCTTCCAGGTCTGGT